AAAATCTACATCAGTATTCAACACTATGTTCCTAAAAGTAAATACTTAAGTGGACAAATTGGTACTGGGAAATACTCATATGACTTATTTATTTGTCAGGTTGCTGATGCATGAGTTATACTAGCATTAGATAACATGACAGTGACTGTACATCTGCTTACATGGGACTGAATGACTAACCTATTGCATGATGTGTTTTTCAGCATAATAAAACTGGAAAATTAAACAAGTGTTAGTTGATGCCAGACTATGAATAGCTACACCAGCTCACAATTCAAACTTAGACACCGAGCATCCCAGAAGCCCTAAACTGACCACATCTGTTTTGGTATCTTTCGGAGACGCTGTGTCTCTGCACTTCGTCTCCATCATCTGCTACTGAATATAAATGCAAACGTCTGTACAGTGCAGCACGCAAGGAAATGCCAATGAGGCCCACACCAAAGGTTAACCTGTCGGCATCTCTAAACAGGGGTCTGTATCTCAGATACTGACGGCCTTTGATTTCCGTGAACACTGCAGGGTTCCGAAGCTTTCATGTCCTTGCTGAAAAGACTCTACCTCCACACTGGATGTGGACTAAGACATTAGAGTTACTTGTATGGTCTTAGATGGAGGGGGTGATAATCCTGCACCAAAGATTTCCTTTCTCCTTACTGCTGTCACCAAGACAATCGATAAGAACAAATGAATGCCCCCCCCCCTCGAAGTATGAAGAAGCGTTCTTCCCTCTCAACAGCGTCTAGTCAAGGTTAGCATGATGGTGAGTTGCAGTATTGATGGACTTGATCTCACATTAAACTGTGTGGCTTTTGCACACACAGCAGCTCTTACACAATCTGTGGGCTTGCATCCCAATGCACGACAGAGTTTGATGCTGTCTGACACGCAAACACACCAATCAGTACAAATTAAGTACATAGGTTTTAAACAGGCTGGTTTTCACCTCACTTTCATGCTGATGTTCCATCACGTGATGTAGAGCTGCAACTAAAAATTAATTTTCATTAGCAATCATTTGATTAGTATTTTTGAGTAATGAACTAATCAATGTTACATTTTTTTTAAAAGCCCAAGGTAACTGACTGTTTTGTCCAATTAACAGTTCAAATCCCAAAGACATTCAATTTGTAATAATGCAAAACACACAATCTGACAGGTTAGAACCTGTAGTATTTGATGATTATGCTTGATTAATGACTGAAATGATTAATTGCATTTCTAAATTGTTGATTCACTTTTATGTTGATTGACTAATCAGTTAATCAACCAATTATTTCAGCACAAGCATAATGGCCCCTAGAGGTATAAAAATCACTGTTAACACTAGAAAACCAGGATGTTACGACTCTCCCCTCATCTGGCTGAATGTACTAGAAGCAGATTATTGACAGTGAAAATGAACAGCAACCTAAAATGTTTTACATTAACTGATGGACAATTCCCAGTCATTGCCTTTTTTTTATGTTGTGGTTCTTTTGGTTTTGTCTGATTCCTCAAAAATTGTATTCCCACAGATAAACTGTAACAGAATGTTTAATAATTATGCTTGTCTTACATCTTATTTGGCTTAACTCTCTGTGTAGCCCCCTGCCTGCTTCAATTTGCTCCAGTGACATGACATGCTCATATTCCCAGGTGTGACATGTTCCAACGTATCCCAGCAGAGGTTTCTTTGCCTCGCCTTGAAGTCATTGTGAATGCAAAATGAAACAAACATATGACAAATTACAAGATGTTTTGCAGGAGCCAGACAGTACAAATACAGTGTTTCCTTGTACTGATGACTAACTTAATCAGGGGGTGATTTTATGCAAAGCACAATTTACTTTGGGATCTCTTACGTTTGTGGGAGTCATTGGGGAATGGTTAATCCCAAAATTAAACTTATTCAAGTCAGTCAAAACTGCAATGAAATTTATATTAAAAATTAGTTTGTGATGACTGTTTGATTAGATTTCCAGTCAGATTTTAATGCAAATTATGTTTAATAAAATTTGTAAACAGGCATTTGCCTTTGACGGAGGCAGCCCTGGTTTATGTTCCTCTTTTACTATTAGTAGTCAGCCTTTATATTTTTGTTAAATAATCATAATTAATATCTTTCCCTAACTTTAAAGCTGCACTAATCAATATTTGCTCATGAATAATGGGTGAAATAAGTTATTATAACTAACTATAGAAAATTCCCTTCAGGTAAACCCTCAGCTCCACAGAACATTTTAGCATCTTTCAACTGATTTAGTTTACGGTCTGCAACTCTACTGTTTTGGCTCACTGGCTCTCACAAACCTCATCTCTAGCTGCATCAGACAGTAGTGTGTGGTGAAAATGATCTTTTAAATCAACCACAAACTGCCTGTGCAGCACCAAACAGCAGACATGACAAAGTCAGTGAATAGCTGAGGAACATAGCGGAGCATTTAGCTGCTAAAGAGTGGGATACAGTATTTCCCCAAGGCTTGGTAGAGACCAAAAACAGAGCTAAAAAGAGAGTGAATATATGAATGTTAATGTTGCTCTGTCTGCCAGATTTGTAAATAGGCAACAGCTTGCTAACACATTTGTCCTAATGCCTTTATAAGGTGAGTCATTATCTCAGTCTCGAGTATACAACTTGTTCTGCTGCCTCCAATTGGGCAAAAAATATAAATATACAATAAAAAGCAATTTATACTGTTTAATGTAATAGTTTTAGTTCGTAGACCTTAACTTTAGCCTGCAATAAAGAGTTGCAATGCACATACGGTATATTGTAGCCGTATCAAGTTGTTAAATATTGGCTTTTAATATTTTGCACATATGAACAAAATAAATGTAATGTCTCATTCTTTTAGGAGATTTTTGAGTCCAGTATTTTTTTATTTTAGTATTTTAGTGCTAAATAGTTGCGTCCAAATGTCCATGTATTAATAGCTCAGAAGAAGGCTTAGATGAAGTAACATGCTCAGACTCGTCTGGGTTTTGCACAAATGTTAATAGCTTAACTGGCACCAAGTGAAGTAATTGTGAACAGATTTAGTAAAATTTTATGGGCAAAGTTTTGTCAAATCTCTATAATGGTTGTTGGCATGTTGCCATGAGTTAGAGGGCTGGTGAATAAATGATTGCATATCTGTTTCATTTGTTTTTTTTTTTCTATTTGGTTTTAAACAGTATTTTATGGTATCTCTATAACATTTAGCAATAATGCTGAATACTGCAACTGATCATGTTAATTAATCTTGTGGAAGCTTTTGACAGGTTAGTTGCAAGTATTCATTTAGTTCTGGAGTGCTTATTACCACTTAAAAACAGTAGCTATCAATTTCTGCTTCACTCATTGAGGTAGTCTGGCAAAACTTAACAGGTATTCGCTCAGAACAGGTTTCATTTGAAGTTGGCAACACAACAATGAAACATGCTCTTGTTTTCTGTTTTTATCAACATTTTTTTATTTTCTAAACCTGGTGGCTGTTTGTCTATGAAAACTGTCTATCCACTGTTGTCGTCATATAACCAGTTAGCTGGCTTGTCTCTCCCAGCAAATATTGGGCTCACTAGATTTAGGTGTCCTTTATCTAACCTTATATACCTGACATATAATTGTTAAATCCAGGGCAGGATCATTTCAAATGAAAAACAAAGAGGCTCCAACCTAACTTTAGTCCTGAACACTCTTAATTCAAATCTCTCCAGTAGACCCAAAAAAGAATTAGGTTTTACATTGGTGTTTTAGTGCATTTGGGAGACACAACTATAATGGATGTACCATTCAGAACATATTTTCACAGACGCAAACAAACGCTGCAATTAACCATAGAGCTATACCATTGTTTAGGCCGCATTATGTCATATTATGTTTCAATCACTTACAGCCCCAATCCACTTGTGAGGAATTTGAATGGGGAGGTTTCCTCATGGGCAGCAACAGTTTAAACACAGACCGTAGTTGTCATGCTCATAGTGTCATTTCTAATCAGGCAGCACTGTCATGCTCCATAACAGCTGCTGAGACACTGCTCTGATGGGTAGAAAGTAGTGCTCCCTTTGCAGGAGCCACAGAGATACACTGTATCTGCCAGCAATGACTCAGTGTCCACAAATCAAAGCATTAAAATACCGCTACAGCATCCACCAGTTTAGTAATGCTGGGTGAATGCTCAGTTGACGGTGCAGGGAGTTGGAGGTGGGGGGGCATCACCCTGGGAGGCAGCCATCTTTGTGCCCTTGGCCAATAAACACATTTTCATGATGCTTTTACAGTATGCCAAGAAAGGGTATAACACACTGAATATATATCACACAAACGGAAAGCCTCAGTGACCCAAACCCTAACACCTGCCCACCGTTGGTCAATGCTGCTGTTGTGCTGTATTTTGTCATTTTTAAACAGCACGTAATTTTTAAACGGTACGTATCACAAAGATGAATACTGTCAACACATTACAACAAAAAAAACAGTGTGAGGGTTGATATACTTCATTCTTCCTAGCCTTTTTTCCAATGAAACATAGTGCTACCGTCATGACATTAGACTTTGCATTGTGTTTGAATGTCTGTATCACTTGACATCAACATGCAAGTCTAGTTGGGAGTGTTCATATGATTGTATATGAATAGCCCAGACAAATTGTCATGTAAGATGGTTGCTTTAGTGGCATCCAGACTTTAATGAGAATGATTCGTTGATTGTGACTGACTGAATCTACCTGGCAAAATCAAACCAACTCATCAGCATCTGTTGGGCTCTATCTTAGTTCAAATGTGTTCTTGGGAACTATTTTACCACTGTACCATAAAAAATCATAAATACTCTATGAGACAGTAAATAAAGTGCACATTGGAAATGTTGATGGCACTAATGGCATTTTATTAAATGCTAGAATCCTGCCATGACTTGGGTTTTTGAAAGCTGACGCACCTGAACCAGCTGATTCAATAAAGAAATGTAAGAAATAAAGCTGGTTATTTAGAAACACTGATCTATGATGGACCTTATCGTACAAGTCAAGTCTTACCTTGAATTCTTCCAGGATTTTGTACGTTTTCCCCCGGTACTCGCAAAAGTTTTTAACCTCCTTGCACTCGGGGCAGCATCCATTGTGTTCCACTTTGGTGCACTTGGGATGCAGTTTGGGGCACTCGGGCTGGTCGCACACAGGCCCGTCCTCCGTGCACACGCACGGACAGTTCGAGTGTCCCGGGTAGAAGCGCTCCCCCAGTTTGTAGACGAAGCCACTGTCGTCCACGCATCCTTTCCCCCGGTAGTCATCGAAGACGATGTTTTCACTGGCGGTCCGCTCCGCCTCGTCCGCGGCGTAATCCTCGGGGTTACCCACCGTGGCCGGAGACACGGCGCTCAGGGCCAGCAGGAGGACGAAGGCGGGCGACAGGAGAGGCCCCATCCTTCGCCGCAGCATCGATATCCTCATTCAACAAGATTGTGTGGATGTCATCCTTAGGCTCCCGGTATCCTCTCCGGATCCATCCTGCGCTTCATTATCATCATCATCATCATCATCATCATCATCACTTGAGGAAATGGGCTGCAGTGGAACAAATAAGAGATGATGTGATGGATGGTGACTGTGCTGCTGCTGTTTTGCACATCCTAAAAAACCATTAAGCCTCACCTTCCCAGCACTTTTTCTTTTTTTTTTGCTTAAGCCTATGTATATTTGATTTGCTGCAGCCAATTGTTTTTATAGGGATCATTCAAGTGTATTTCATTGTTTTTCTATCTGCAGAGACAAATGGGATTCCCTAGTGCGGCTTACTCAACAGGCTAATGTCATTACACTTGAAAGAAAATAGAAAACCTTTATTAACATAAGAAGCATGTAGTGTGTGTGTGTGTGTGTGTGTGTGTGTGTGTGTGTGTGTGTGTGTCTGTGTGTGTGTGTGTGTGTGTGTGTGTGTGTGCAAGGGTGCTCAGACAGCCTACAAATGATCCTCTTCGTGCAAAATCTCAGCAATAGCTGAACATCCAACAACAGAGGAAAAGGTTAAAACATCCATTATCTGAAGTGGGTGGAGTGTCGGTTATTCTTCACACAATTCTTCTCCACATTCAGTAAAACCCAGCCTATTAGCTATCTTTGTACAATTTCAAACTCTGTGGGAGCGACTAGAGACAACAGGTAGCTATTAGTCTGTATCACATTCCCAATGAGCCAGTGATTATACAAATCACCGCTTTAACATTGGTTCTACAGTAACCTGTTCTTACTAAATCAGCTGTGTAACATGCAAATGTCCCGAGTCATTATTAAATGCGCAACGGTTAAACCCAAAATGCACTACCCCATTCGGAAGGGGAAAACACAGAGAAAAAAAAAATCCAGACAGTTAAGCAATATCTAGGCCTGGCTGGAGATAAATATTTTCTCTTAGCCTGGAACCAAAGTGCTGCGCGTCTTGACAGATCAATTGAAATGCCTGTGACAACAAGGATGTAAATTAAGCGACAGGGCAAAACTCACCGCGTTGAAATAAGCTTGATATCCACTTAGTGTGAAGCCAGAGAGCCCAACACATAGAGGGATGTAGTCGCTTAGCCTTTTGGAAACTTCACTTTATCCACAGGGTAAATTCACCAGGCTCCACGAGATACTATAATCCTCCCCCTCGGTCGTGATGATGGGCTTAAAACCAATTAAACACCAGCCTTTTGGAGATACGGTTCCCCCTTTTCCAGCGTAAAGAAAACCACATCCACGTAAAAGTAGGTCTGCTTCATGGTTATCCTCATCGGACTCACCTTTTTTGAGACAATATCACAGTTCACGTCCAGAGGCATGCGGTGCGGAGAGAGAAACAGAGAGCGAGAAAAAAAAAACAGCCAGGAAAGAAAAAAACCCTCTGTAGCGTTTTCCTGAGAATCCGGAGTCAATTCAATATTTCCCAACGATGCAGGTGAATGTTAGAAAGCAGCAGTCAGTCTTGTTGCACATATGTGTTTAGCCAGTACATCCAGCGGTTTGCAAGAAAAATAAAAAATAAAAAATCCCGATGGATAGAAGTTAGGAGTATAAAAAAAAGAAGAAATAAACCATGAGGCGTTGAAGCTGGTCGTTATGTGATTTTCGGTTTTCGCCAGAGGTCGCATTCACAGTCAGTAGGCGAGACTGAGGGAGCGCTCCGACTTTCAGCACCTTGGAGAGCGACTGTCTCCTGCGTCCTGCACTGAGCAGAGCAGAGCGCCCCCCTCCCTGTCCCCCGACTTCCCCCCCCCCGCTTCCGTCTCTCTTCTCTCTCTCTCTCTCTCTCTCTCTCTCTCGCTCTCTCTCGCTCTTTCTCTCTCTCTCTGTCACTCACAGACGAAACAATGGACACATCTCACGAACCGAGGACAACTCCAACTGCATTTGTGGAACTGCTCCTGCAAGAGTTAAAGGCTAAAATAAAGTCAGACGACGAGATAAGTGGTTAGTAGTCAAGAGATTTCCGGGGGGGTCTGGTAAATTGAAGAGGTGGGTTAGATCTGTCAGATGTGTCTGAGTGCCTTTTTGTGTTTGTAAACGGGTGCGCCCTGTGTGCACGTTTAGTTTCATCATCTGTCTGTCTGTCTGTCTGTGTTTGCGTGCGTGTGTGCGTGTGTCTGTGTGTCTGTGTGTCTGTGTGTGTGCCCGTGCGTGCCAGACTGTCTTCACATATGACCTGCAGCATGTTTCCCTGAGTCACTCATTATTTGCAGCACAGTTTACAGAAACCCATTTGTATTCTGTGGTGCAACGCAAAAAAAGGGAGTCTGACTTCTCAGCCCCTACAACAATAACAGAAAAAAATACAGTATGGTTTTGCAGAGCAGCATCCGTTTTGTTTTACAGATGGTAGCCCGTAGGGGCCACTGCCTGACCACATTCAGTCTGAGCACAGATGACTGAGTGGCACCCAAAAAGACCTTCACTTAATTAGTCACTCCCATGAGGGATCATACACATCTTATCAACGGCAACCTTATGGCCTGTTTTGTGCTCATGGCCTTGATCTGAGTGATTAAAACCTGCTATTTTATACCAGTTCTTTCACTTGAAACACCTGTCAACCCCCAGGGTGGCTCAGTCCTCACTTCCATAAAGTATTAGAAATGGTACATCTTCTGCACATCTGCGGCATGCTTGACCCACCACGGAAGGTCAAATCCAACCAAAACGCACTTTCATGTATTTACTCCTCCACTTTCCACCTGACTGAAAACTAGAAAATATTTACATGGCTGTCTAATTATAGAGTCACACAGAAAAATGTTCAGATCATTCTTGCAGTGCAAGTATGGTTACAGACATGAACTCTGCAAGAAATACCAACACACATATGTACAAATAAAGCAAAAAGAATGGAACTGAAACCTGCACTATCCCATGTTGATTTCCCTTCCATATCTTCACTAATTATAGAGGAGGAGATACACTAAATGAGAAACTGTCAGATTACAGAAGGATTTTAAAGGTTTGAGACAGCTAAGATGTGAATTGTTAAAGAAGGGATGAAGCTTAACATCAAGAAGATGCCCTGAATACATCAAATGTTTATGTTCATTAATGCATGGGGGTATACTGCGCTACTTCCCCTCTGAACATGATTCTGGGCTGCAAACGGCAGCTATGGTAACATTTGTCAAGTAAATTCAACGTCAAGCTCAGGTTCGATGACATTCAGCCTCCATAACTTACACTCAGTCCCTGTCATCTACACCCAACCAATTATGCTCCTAAACTCAGAGAATCTTAAGGCTTTAAAATCTGGTTCATATGTGTATGATCTGTACCATTAGACTAAATAATATAGCATCTGAGTACAGTGCTAAGTCGGGGGGGTGGGGGGTGGGGGGGTGGAGGTGTTTGAAATGCAGATGCTGGCAAAGCCGCAATCACAACAAAACCTGTGGCAATCAGGGGTTTGTCAAACTCCTGGTAACACGCGCAAAGTGCATAATTACTGTGTCAGCTGAAACATTTAGCAGGCAAACACGAGGGCATGCTGAGGTTACACTGTTAACTTTTCTCCTTGACTAACTACAGAACTGAAATAGGCACTTTCTCATTACATTTTCATAGGGTGTTTGCATTCCTCTTAATCTCCTCTAACATTGACTGTGGTTCTCGCATGACTTCAAATTTACATTTGACTTAATGCGTGGGCTGCATTCTCCCCATGTCACTCTAACAAGACTTGGTGTCTCGCTCCGACTTTGATTTCCCTTCAAATCATCGCTCCTCCACAAACACATGTATTTTGTTTCAGATTATAGGAAACTGTGGATAGAACCAAACAATCCCTTATGATTTCTAAATGTATGTCTTTCTCTAAAACTTTGTCCAAACATGCAGCTTATCCAGGGTAAAAACATGCATTTCCCAGGATGCACTAGATTGTATCCTTAACCATGCACCACAAACTCCCCACACACATCCCTTCCCCCACTCTCTGTAGAGAAACATCTTGGCCGTTGACCTGGTTACAAAGAAAAGGAACACTTATGCTTTTTAAAGCCTCTCATCTTCCTCCCTCTTCTCACACCACCCTCTGCAATGGAGCCAGAACAAGTATATCATTTATTAAATCTGACATTGCACTTGAGTAAATGTTGGATCCTAATATGAGATGTGTTGTCTAAGACAGCCGGCCAGCTACTCCAGCACGCCATGGTCCATTAGGCCTTCACTCTGGCTCACAAAAAACATGGGGTGGATGATACAAAACAACACCGGTACTGAGAAATGTACTAGAGCAACCACTTCTATTAACAGGCTACCCGTGTGTTACTGCTGGGTGGTGAAGTAGTCTTGTTGGTGGGACAGTACTCTCATATGACACTTTCCTGAGCCTGCTAACAGAGATGTTTCCATTTCAGTTGTATTTAATGTGAGGCAAACAATTCCCAGCCCACAGGACTAGCTTCCAATTCAATCAGCTAATGGAAAGGGAGCTCTTCACTCAACCCCCCACCCCCCACCCCCCACCTCCTCCTGCCTTCCACCACCTCCGTTTTCCTGCAGCAATACATTCACGACAGCAGAGTCTGCACCAAATGTTATAATGGTTTAGCCATTAGGGCTGCATTTATAGCCTGCTAGCAGGTCTTTGGCATTATGTTTGGTCACAGCCATTCACGCTAACTTATTAAACTGAATGCCAGAGAGGAAGAAAGCCGAGTGAGCCGAAGCTGGTGAGAGGAGAAAGAGGAGAAAGAGAAGAAAGAGCTTGTAGGAGGAGAGGGCGGCTCTCAGGTGAATCAAGACTTCTGTGTAGGCGAGGCATGCATTTTTCCTCTTCCATGGAAATAGGGGTTATGCTTAATAAAAGCTTTGTGCTAATGTCTTTGGGAGGGAATTTCACATTTAACAACGAAGCACTTGCTAAGTATTCTGGTTGTGCCTTTAAATTAACACTAGTAGTACAATTTTACTGTGACAAA